ACAGTTTAAAATCCTCATTTCCGTCACAGACTCTCTCAGCCTTCCTAATTTTCTTAACCAGTTTGGCATTTCTGTTGCAAGGATGTTTTACATTCCCGTTAAGTCGCCTTGGAGTAATTAATAGGTTGATGGCCAAGACTCAATTTTTCAAACAACTGATACCGCAATGCAAGTTTTTTGTTGAGTTACACTGATCTATTTGCTCGTTGATATCGCAATATCCTGTGGAATTTTTCAGTTTCACTTTAGAAAAAAAAAAAACTAATTCGCTTCTGTCAAAATTTCAAACCTCAAATAATTTGTTCTTGGCGTCAGTTCATTATAAGAAAAGGAAGCCTTTAATGGCACCGATTCTTGCCACGTACAAAATTACCTTTAAATTGAAGGAAACCTGAATCGAAAATAATAGTTTTACAAAGAGAGAAGAACACCAAAGAAATAAATAATAAACCATAAAGGAACAAGGATGGTTGAGGATGAAAAAGATTGACACGGATTACAAACGACGAACTTGAAAATTTTAGGCTAAACTTTTCAAGCTGCGCAAACCGTGACGTGCTCCATTAAGTATGGAAAGTGAAACGTCGTTTTGCTAACCGCTTTTATTAAAATACCTAGTCTTACTTGTGATTGAATATGACTTTTCACGGCTTAGCTCCAACTCTTGTTTTCGTAAGGCCCTTCTCTGTCGACGAGAAAAAACACGGACGATTAGCGATGCATAAAAGGGAAACGGAACTCTACTTTCCAATCGAAACGACCGCTAGCTGCAAGCAAACTCTTTTGGAACCACCCAACGAAAAAACGAGGCTACCTTTCCCAGGATCTTCAGCTCCCCAATTTCTTCCGCAAATTTTCTAGTGGACTAAGCGAAAAAATTAGATTTGCCACCAGGCGACTTCCTAGGAGAGATCAAAAGCGACGAATTCGCCAAGACGCGGGGCGAGCTACAGACTCGCGAGGAATCTGGCAGAAACCAAAATGGACTTGAAAAAGGTCCGGAAGTCTTCAAACAACGTGCTTCGTCACTTGCTCAATGGCTATTTCTGAAAACAATTTTGTGTAAACAACGGGTACACCCCTTTGTTATAAGAATCTTTTTTTTTTTATAAGAACGTTGAGACTGTTCTTAGCTTGATTATCCAAAATTTTAAGAAAAAAGTATTAAAAACGTTTTTTATTGTAATCATTTCTTGCTTTTCTTTCTATTTTTAAATGATTAGTATGAATAAAGATAGAATAATTGCAAAACTGTACTGTAACAGGGCAGTTAACCCAAATACTTATGGACATGTTTGTGTTAAATGTTTTTTTAAGGCCAAATAAATTTAGCAGGAGTTGGTTGGCGCGAAATCTTGTTTGCGGAAGTCGAGCCTGCATAGATTACATAAGAGCAAGCTGCACGAACATGTGACAAGCAACTTGATATCACATCACGTCAAAGAAAGCTCTTTGATAAGTTTCCTGGTCACGTCCTCAATGATTTCATGTAACATTTAGAACATCCTAACATTAAGAACGTTTTCAGGCTCAAATCGCATGGCTTGGCGGTTTTCAAGCAATTTGAGCGCGCTAAGAGCGCCAAAGCCGCGAGGAGCCTGGGAGAGAGACAACTGAGCGCTCGCGCGCCAAGCTACGCGGGCTATATTACTCGATCTCATTACAAAGTTCATATTCCAGTCATTCCAGTTAGAGGACACATTGAACTTCTTGTAGACATCCCGCTGAACGGTGTCTCGTTTAGTCCGCTAGCTCGCTTTTGCCGGCCTGAAACTGAACTCACCGAGGAGAAAATAGTAAAAATTAATTCCCCGAATAGAAAACCACTTCCAAATGGCATAAAAATATGTGAAACTAAAAAACACAAAATTAAACTTACCGCAAATATTTAGGACCTTCGTACTCGGATCGGTTACTTGTTAAAGACTCGGGTAATGATTAGAATGACTATAAACGTCGACAGTTTCAAATTTCACCAGGTGTTGTGTTTCTGCGCGCAGAAATTTCTATCGTGGCATTACCCCGCCCGACTCAGTCTTGCCTCGTCCCTCGTATACTCGTCACTCATTCCACTTCGGCGTTAAACGAGGAGCTGAAAATGGGCTTGAAGTTTTGCATCGTATGCGGCCTGTTCCAGGTGTTGCTTGTGGTGTTGTTCTCTGTCCTGGCTGATTATTCCGACCATGCCTCTCCGCCACACAAACGCAAGGGCGCAACAGACACCGCTCCCAATGCCTCCGAAACGCTGCCCGTGAATGATATCTCCATTTATTATTCAAGTAAGAGCTATGTTCATTTTGTTTTCTTATAATTCTTGACCTAAAATGCGCTCTGTTGATTTTTATCTTTTTTATTCATATGATGTGTCTTCACGAGTCCTCCAGGCTTTCGAAACAAGAGTGTCTGTTGTTTAACTGAGCAACAGTCGAAATATACAGACCTTTATAAGAATTTATACGAAATAAAACGGTTATAATCTCAAATCTAAAGTTCCGAGCCTTAAAAACGGCTCAGCTTGCGTGTTAGTCGGTTTTTTTTTCTTTTTTTTTCCGACGTTTCCCCGGCCTTTGAGGTTTCAGGTTGATTCAGGCTATTTACTTCAGTGATGCCAGACGGCAAAACAATTGAACTAAAAAAAGACATATCATAAATTGACCCAGAAACCACATGGGAAACAATGAAATAAACAAAGACTGCCTGAAGACAGATTTGAGGTCAAGGGTTACTGGAATACTTTCTAGAGAAAATGCAAAAGGAATAGAAATCCTGCCGATCGAGGAGAAACCTCGAGTGCAATTGAAGTGACTAGTCGGCCAGTTTAGCTCCGCAGTAATTACAACCAGTCGGATACAACCATTAAGCCGTGAGATTACAGTTGTAATCGCATTCTTCGAGGCAAACGAGCTGAGAGGCTTTTATCGATGTGCGAGTCGTTGTAAAAGCAAGGTAGATTTTGGCGAGTTATTACCCAGAAAACCACTTCAATTGCGGTCTCGAATCTTCGTTATTTATTAAAGTGTCTGGAGACAATAATATCGAACCAGAAATGTGGAAGGCGTCAATTTAATATTTAAAGACATTTAACATTTAATTATTAAATTTACTCGTTTGCCACAAAATTTTCTGAGCTTTAGATAGACTAGATAAAGATTAGAGGATTTCCATCTACTTGACAGATGATGGTGGGACGTGACTACATCAAGTGCTATTAAGTTATAATCTTTCCGATTTTCGTGGGTTTTGTCACGTCCCGCGAAAGAAATTCAGAAATTCCCCCTAAATATTTCCCGCAAAAATCTCAGATTTTGCCAAACGTACTTCCCTCTCTTTTGGGTTTTAAATAGAAAGCAGACCTTATCCAGAAGTTTATCAAGCGACAGCGGAGCTATAAAAGCAAAGCAGAGCAGAACATACTATCAGCAATCTTGATTAGCTTGTTTGGCAACTCTGCGATATCTTGTTATACTTGTACGTCGGTTTTCAAGAGGAATTGCGGAAACGGTATTGAGGCGTTGTTACAAGCATGTGATTCCTCTTGACCGCAACTAGCTTTAAAAAAATGCAGAAATAAATTCCCTGCACGAAAGCCGTGCTAGACTCTCCCTATGGCAAAATTGCGTCCCGCGAAGTATAAACTAAATTCTGTCAAACACAAAGGATCACCCTCGGTGTTATGTTGTGAAATATGGTATAGCTGTTGATATGTTCTTTTATGTTACCTGCTGTATTGGGGTCATAAGTTCAACATATTTGTTAGTTATATCTGCTAAGCACTTGACGGGCTATTGCAGCAGAAACAGGGCTAATTAATGAGTGTTATCACTCGATCGACGTGGTGTGTTCTTTTTCTACTAAAATATGAGTTGGAAAGTTGTAATTTCTGTCTTATATATGGTCAGCAAAATCTCATCGATTCCGTTCACCACTGCTGGCGCCCATGTCTGGCCCCAGTCCCTTGTAGATGAAAGCGTCTAATCAGGGGCTCAGGGGCTCCTGGTCTAATTGAAACACGACTCACAACCTGCTAAGGAAACTTTAAAGCAAAAGAAATGCCAAAAGCGCAGACTTTCACAGCAAGGATACCCGAATCATGAACACTTGACATTCTTTGTACATTGCTTTTTGGGGAGAATAGTACTTTTCTATGAATCGCATGTACATTTGAAAATACACCTAAATTAAGCTATTATTTCGATCAAAATCGCACGTCCTCTGTCCATTTTAAGATCGAGTAAATGCACGCAGATGCTTTACCGTGATTCATACGGTAGATTCACTACTAACTTTGTTTACGTTTTTTGAATTCTTGAAATCTATCCTCATTGGCAACAAGGGTCATACCGTGATCTTAGTCAAGCGATCTCTAAGAATAAGATAATCAACTCACATTTGTAGGATTTCTTTCCCGACAAAGGGTTTCTCATTACAGTAAAAGGAAAACACGAGTTCGCACTGATAACGCTGCAGTTTTACGACGAAAAAGTGTCGATTTTGCGTGGATACGTACCGAAACCTAAGGGGTGGAGCATTTGACTTTGGAGGGAGGGAGTGGGTGATAAAAAATTAACAAACATATTCTGCAAGAACACTTGTCCAAAAAAAATTAATGTTCACTTCCACTGCCGAAACAAAATTCACACACGTTCAGTGAGCCGAAAACAGCATTTTGCTACATGGAGGAAAAAAAGGTTATGCTTAGACAAATCGCGAGAAAAACATTTCCCAGTGCATGAAAGCCGGTTAAAAAAAAAAACTCGTGCCTGCATGCCCCAGATTTTGAAAAGAATATAACTGTTTTGAGAAATTTTCCTTTCTCTAAACGGCAAAACGTTAATTAGCCAAAACACAGCAGAAACAGTACTAGCCGTATGTTCGATGCTGATAACATTTCTGTAAGAAGTGATGTATTGTATCTGGTGTTATTGCCTGCAGTCTGGCTCCAAAATTACTTCAACGCCATCAAAGTCAATAAAACAGAAATGTCATATGCTATAATCTAAGAATATTTACAAGAAAATTTTCAGCCTAAAATCTGCAGAAAAATCAGTAAGAATATTCACCCTGGGCCGGAAAAAAACAATATTCTTATAGAAAAAAAAAGTGTATGTAAATCCGCTAAAAAGAGTATTTTTCTTTTATTTGCACACATTGGAAGAAATCAGAACTCAACCAGAGTGAATCATAGAGTGGTTTCACTCAAGTGGCCTGTAGCCATGCAAATATATTGGAACATAACGAAGTGTTTACAGAAGAAAAGTTCAACTCTCACAGGATTGGTTTGTTACAGCAACATGGCCGCCGTTTCATTGTTTCGGGACACTATGGTTGCCATGACGCCATTTAAAACGCTCTATGACTAGCGCGTTGTAATATGACTCAGTGCCAGCTAATAACAATAAACCAGCATTTAATAATAACTAGCGGTGATTTATTTAAAATAATATCGGCCGTAATTTGAGCTATTTTAAAAGGAAATCATCTAAATCCCCTAAAAATGGGTGGGGGAACGACCATCTAGTTTTAAAATGATTTGGAAAGGCTTCGAAAGGGTCTTCGGAAGAGAATATTTTAGATCTAAATATCTATCGGCAAAGGACGACTTTATGCGCATCTTTTGTTACAGATACAAAGTCCTAGCAATATTAGTCTTATTCCTCCATTACCTCTCCCGTCCAACCCCAAACGGTCTGGCAACTATTTTTATCCCGCTCTTCTCTTATAAGTGTTTTGCGTCAGCCAAATTTGCAGGTATATAACAGTTCACAGTTGAGCGATTTTACTCACTACTACCAATCTTTAACTTCATGTAGATGTCTTTCATCGCTCTCTTAAGACCTTTGCTCTCTTTACTTTTCCTATGAATCATAGCATTGAATTTCCGAAAATTTTGCGGCCATTTTTTTAACATATCTCAAAATCCATTCGCAATGTAATTAGAGGTCGAATATCACCTGTGGCGAGGCAACGATTGCCATGCATACCAGTCATTGACGCGAATCATTAATGATTATGCAAAACATCGTAAGAGATTTGTGAATTTGAAAACAAGATGGACGACACCCTAGAAATGACAACTTCGCTGCGAATACCGCTTAGATCGGGCAGCCCAACAAGGAAGCAGCCACGCAATGGAACCGCAGTGAAATTTACGCTTCTGTTATTGTTATTCCAATCTATCCTTGTGGTTTTGTTCACGATTCTTACTGATTACGGCCAACATTCGCTTCCGCCCCAACGCGTCAGCGTGCAAGAGAAAGTTGTCGGTAATAACACAACTCAAACAGAGGTCATGGAAGGCGAAAAAATAGAAGTCAACGATATTAGTCTTTATTATCCAAGTAAGTAGACATTTGCACTTTTCTCCGTTGGGTTTCATCGCGTGAGGGCTGTAGTTTCACCGACATTGAAGCGTGGAAACTGAGCTGTTTGAAATTATTTAATACACGCTTAAGAATGGGAAGTTTGTTGATTGATCATGACCTCCTCAGGGTCTTAAGGTGTATGCAAATTTAAAGCAAAGTTTTGTTAACTTTTTGACGTATTCATCAGGAGCTCTCGAAAGTTTTGCTCAATATGGATTTCGTTTGAATGGTCACACACTGCCTAAGGTTTCATTCATCAATGTCATCTTGAAAAGCACAATATCAGACAATACCACATCCCAGGGGGGAGGGGTACTCCATTAATCAGCTGTGTTGGTCACGTGTCATGCACAAAAAAATCTCGTTTATGAGCTGTTTTGGTCCGAAATGGGATACTAATTGTGATCATTTTGCTTGAAATTGGGTATGTTTTGATTCTGGCTTGGAATTGAGTCTAAGGTTTAGTCGGACTGAACTATTTTTTCTTCATCAAAATCAGGGAATATTAAGCCTTCGCTCAAACTGTTATTCAGACGAGAGTTATCGCTGGTCAACTGGGTTCGGGTATTACAGATGTGCACTGATTTCATAGGTCTGCAATAGGGTATGGATTGTAGGTTCAGTTCTAAAATAGGGCGTCATTGATCGAAAAGAATTCCAAGAAACAAACAGCTCCCGCCCACAAAACATTTCTGGGAGTATACCGCTTCCTGGTCGCCATGAAAGTACTGCTCAATAGCTTTCATTTGAGTGGCTATACACGAGGGTTTCATCCGCGGACTTAAACTGCGGTAGAACCATGCACTTAGTAAAGCGTAATAAATTACAGTACCACATGAAAGTACTCTCAATAGCTTTCATTTGAACATTTGGACGCGTAATAAACAGTACCAAATGAAAGTTTTGCCAAAAGCTCTCATTTGAATGGTCACACACTAGGGTTTCATCCATAAAATTAAAAGTTAGAACCACCTTGTGCAGCTTAATCAATAATAAGTAGCACATAAAAGAACTGCTCAATAGCTCTCATTCCGGAATGGTTACACGTAAGGGTTTGTTCGACATAATGAAGAGAACCGCGTCGTGTTACTGACCAGTATCTTTCATCCTTATGGTTACAAACTAGGGATTCGTCTTTGGGGGTGGTCTGTACGTTATTAAATTACGACATAAGATGTCTCTTTCTTCCTTACTTCCCTACTTACTGTCTTGTCATATCAAGTAACATGTAAAGACTTGATTTCCACCCAGCAGAAACAGGTACCGAAACTGCTGGCTAAATTATAAAAAATTTGTTTAATTATCTTTAGCAGTTTCACAGTGATTTCCTTCTTTGCGACATGCTCCGAATAAATGTAATAGCCAAACTCTCGCATGTAAGCAAAAACAAAGGTGTGGCTGACCAGAGCCTTTAAGTAATAGGTTTTAAATTTGCTCTTAACTACGATTTTTCTATCAACAATTACTGTGTCTGGGTTTAAGACAATTCAAAGATCATTTAAAGATCAGAGAGCCGTTTGGAATCACCTAAGAAGTCGTGACATATAAGCATACTTTTGCAAAAGTTTTCTCCTTTACATAATATTTATTTACTCGTATAGACCTGCTAGGGAAACGAAAATTGGTTTGAAAGATCGTGTGGCTCAAGAAATCGGGGGTAAAATTACAGTGTTCGACTTTTGGCTCGACTTATCGGGAGGTTCGAGAAATTGGGATTCCACTGTAACTAACATCAAAGGCAAATTGGATGTATAGAGGAAAACAGACCCATCTCTCTCTTCGGTACCAGCCTGATGTCTTGGCGCTTTCACACTGCATGCTTCCCCCAAACAGTTCCCCCGGGGGTGGGAGAGGTACTCTACAAAGTTTTATACGAGGAGGCTCCGCCCCGAGGTCCAACCCCTTGCCCTTGGGAAACTAATTTTGAACAAGATACCCCTTGCTTTCGGGGGAGCCTCTCTGTATAGGACATTATGGGGAGTACCCCCGGGAAACAGGCATGTACCACAATCAAACTGTCGCGATATTGAACTTACGTTCTCTTTTGTTTTTCTCACACAGTGTTCCAAGATGTTCATGTCATGATCTATGTCGGTTTTGGATTCTTGATGACCTTCTTGAAGAAGTATGGCTACGGTGCAGTCGGCTACAACTTCTTCATCGCCGCACTTATGACTCAGTGGGGTACCATCGTGACGGGATGTCTTAACCAGATTTACGCGGAAGGACACGAGCATATTGAACTCAGCATACAAACGTATGTAAAAATTATTCTTTATCTAACCCTAAATAACAAAAAGGGAAATAAATTTGCAAAGGGTTAAAGGAAGAGAAGTTTTCACAGACAAATGAGAGTAATTTTTATCGTGAACCGTCAAAGGAAGTGTCAAATTTTCTATCTATTTGCACGTATTACAAGCCTATGATTTTTGGTTAAATTAAAACTTTTATCTCCACGCATTGCAGACCTATGTTACTAGCCCCAACGTTGCTAGCTTGGTCTCCTTACAGACTACCACGGTAACTGATCTTGTTGTACTTGTCACCAAGTGTTTCCCAAAGTGAAATCCGTGAAGCTCCGGGAGATTTTCTTTAAAAGACAGGCGGTAACGAATAGAGAACAACTCTTCTGTGATCTGTTTTACCGAAAGTAAAGTTCTTATTTCTTTGCTTTCTTGTATTTGAACGCAGTTTGGTCACGGCGGAATTTGCGGCCGCTACAGTCCTCATTACCTACGGAGCTGTCCTGGGAAAAGTGAGCCGCCTGCAACTGCTCGTCATCGGTACCCTGGAAGTCGTGTTCTATGCTATCAACGAACTGATCGCTGTCGAGTTCCTCAAGTACGCTGATGCCGGAGGCTCGATCATCATTCACACTTTTGGAGCATACTTTGGACTGGCCTTGTCCCGGGTGCTTTACACCAAAAAAGCTTTAGACAACCCTAAGGAAGAATCAAACTACCATTCGGATCTGTTTGCCATGATTGGTAAGTCATCCCTCTCTTTCAAGTGAACTGCCTAGATTTTCTTTGTCATTGGAGGATGACGTCTGACGTCGTCACTAGCGCAATAGTATAGCGCGCGCCTCCGATCCCGACGTTTCCGTCCCTATCCCACCCCTCCACCCACCGAGGGATTCCCATATAATAAGCAGATAATGCTCTCATGCTCGTCGTACCATTTAGAGGTTACAAAAGTGGTTTTGGAACCTCTTAGGGTATTCACAGGTCCAGCGACCAATTAACAATTAGACCCGTAGCCCGCAAGGGCTACGGGTCAATAGC